TATTCCAAAATTGCAAGACCTCTCAACGACTTAACAGCTGGGTATCTGCCTCCAAAAAGGCAGTCAGCCTCCTCACACAGTAGCTTGATACGTTCCTCAAGTGCAGATTTCAAAAGGCCCTTCAATAAGAAATGGGCATAGGTTTGTGAAGATGCCTTCAAGACTCTCATACAGAAGCTAACAACAGCTCCAGTTCTTGGATTCCCCGACTCAAAGAAGCCCTACATTGTACCGTCTCGGTGCGGCTCTATACCAAGAGCAAGCAGGCAAATTGAGAGTGATAGCCTATGCGAGCAGAGGACTTAGCCATTGTGAACGAAGATACCCTGCACATAAGCTTGAATTTCTTTCTTTAAAGTGGGCTGTCACTGAGAAATTTTTCGACTATCTCTATTAAGCAAAGTTCACCGGTGTGACAGACAACAACCCACTGATGTACATCCTGGCATCTGCCAAACTCGATGCAGCGGGTCACCGCTGGTTGGCCACTCTTTCCAGCTTTGACTTCAACATCCTGTGCAAGGCTGGGAAGAAGAATCAAGATGCGGATGGTCTCTCAAGGCATCTGCATCCTGATGACCAACATCAACCTGATCTAGCTTCCCAGGATGAGGAGGACCGTATCCAGCGGTTCATCTCCCAGTTCTTACGGGATGACAGAAGAGCCGGTTTCCCATCTGAGGCTCTGAGAGCAGTGTGCCAGAGGCATCAGTGTGTTTCAGCGACAAGTACAGTAGCAGAATTCCCACTGCCTGTACCAGTCGTATGCTTGGCGATTGGGGCCTCTGCTATTCCTGTAGGTTTCAGTGAACCTGATGTGCTTGGATCATGTACGTTACCACAAATGTCACTTGAATACTGGGTTCGTGAGCAAAGACAGGATTCGGGCATCAGTAGAGTAATAGATATTTTTACAAACAGGAAAGCGACTCTCGTTCAGATCAAGGCATCAGGAAGACAGAGAGGTCCAGTTGATGCTGAGAGTAATGGAGCAGTTGATCATCTCAAACGATGTTCTGAGCCAAGGTGAGCCTTTCCATCAGCTTGTCCTTCCCAAAAGGTTCAGAAAGTCAGCACTCGAAAGTCTTCATGATGCTGTTGGACATATGGGCACTGATAGAACACTGGACTTAGTTCGCGCCCGTTTCTATTGGCCCCGTATGGATATGGAAGTGAGCGAAAAGATTAGAACCTGTGAGAGATGTATATGGAGAAATGCACGTGCTGAACGAAGTGCTCACCTTGTGAACATAAAAACGCAACGGCCTCTCGAGTTGGTTTGTATGGATTATCTTTCACTGGAGCCAGACGGCAAAGGAACAAAGAATATTTTGGTCATAACCGATCATTTCACCAAATATGCAGTAGCAGTTCCGACAGCAGATCAAAAGGTGAGGACAGTGGCGAAAGCTCTATGGAACAACTTTTTCATCCATTATGGTTTTCCCCGAGCGGTTGCATAGCGATCAAGGTCACAATTTTGAATCAGCCCTGATCAAAGACCTGTGTGTGCTGCTGGGAATTAAAAAGACGAGAACCACGCCTTACCATCCCCGTGGAAATCCTGTGGAGCGATTCAACAGGACACTTCTTGAAATGCTGGGAACGCTCCAAGAGGAGGACAAAGCGAGATGGAAGGATTTTGTGCAGCCCCTTGTCCATGCGTATAACTGTACAAAAAACGAAACTACCGGCTACTCCCCATACCAGCTGATGTTTGGTCGCCAGCCAAGGCTTCCTAGTCGATATAGTGTCACATTCTGAGTATGTTAAGAGGTTGAGAGTCTCACGGAAAGCTATCAGTTAGCAACTACACACAGTTTAAAGAATGCTTTGCAGAACAAACAGAGGTTTGAAAGCAAAGTAAGAGAGTCCACATTGGAAGCAGGAGACAGAGTCCTGGTGGGGAATGTTGGCATCAGGGGGAAACATAAAATTGCTGATAGATGGGGTGAAACAATATATACTTTGGTCAAATGGATTGAAGATTTCCCTGTATATGTTGTCATTCCCAAACATACAGATGGACCCAAAAGAGTTTTACACCGAGACCTGCTTTTGCCGTGTGGATTTCTTCCGTCCACTGTGAAAGACGTACCATCACGGAAGTCAAGATCCAGACAGAAATTAGATAACTCACCTCTTCTTGAGGGTGATGGTGCTGAAGATAACGACGAATTGTCTGAGATGGAGGATGAGGTTGAATACTACTCTCTTTATGATCAGCCGTACCCGGAGTTAGAAAGCATTCGGGAAAATGTTGAGCAGGACAGCAGGACAGTTCAAGAGGAAGCCAGACCCAAGCAAAGGTCTCAGGGTGGAATATCAGATGACCAGCATGTTCAAATGGTGAATGAGTCTGTTCCTGAGGATCAGGTATAGCTAGAACAAGCTTTGATGTGTCTATATTGAACCCTGGAGCTCCAGTATTTGAACCTCAGTATGTTGAAGGTGATGGAACCTGTGAGGTCAGTCGAACTCAACACTCACCTGTACTTGAGACTGTAAGAGCTGAGGAAAGCTTTTCTAATGTTCCTGTCACAGATCTGATTGAACATTGTACTCCTATAAATGGAACAGACACTGGATTGGATGAGATGGAGGAAGGATTGAATGTAAAAGAAACCACAGAGTTTGAGAAGACTGAGGTTATCTCTGACTATGAGTTGCCATTGAGAAGATCTTCTAGAGATAGAACAGCTCCCAAAAAGCTGACATATCCAACTTTAGGGAACCCTCTAGTTACAGTTATTCACTCAATTTTAACTGGATTAGATAAAGCTTTCTCCCAAACCCTTACTCTCTCAGTTAAGTGTTTTAACTGCATATCATTATTGTCAAGCAGATGGCAGTAGTGGTGCTGCAGAGAAGTGAAACCAATATCGTTTTCAGTAATGAGTAGAAGAAGAAAAAAAAACCGTGACTGAACGGGAGTGAGCTGAGCTCTACACAAGGAAATAACCACACTGAGCTGAATTTTATAAGGTTTTAGAGTTATTTTGCTAGTTTCTACACAGAAATCATATTTTATACGGTATCACGAGGGAAGAGGCATTTTAGTACTGACAAAGATATGTGTATTTTTTTGTTTTCTCCGGTGAGTTTGCCGAGTATTCAACATGTGTACTGCTAGCATGACACGGGTTTTCTAAGTATTGCTTTTGCAGAATACTGTTTTGTTGGTAATACTATGATTTTGAGATATATATACTGAGTTCACGTGTGCAGCGACTTAGAGAATGTAACCCGTTCAAATTGTAAACTGCTGAACAATTATGAAAATGGGTTTTTGAGTAATGTTGTTTCCAGATATGGTGAAGAAATTGGAATTGATTTTGAAAGAGTAATTTCATGTTGCCCTATTATGCAGGATGTTTTTTTTGTATGCATGATTTGATAAGGCCATTTGATTCACCGGCATTGGACAGACGGATGCACGGCGAAAGAGCAGTGTGCGCGAGGAGTCCTTATCAGCAGAGACTGTTCCATTAGATGCGTCTTCATTTCATCTCACAGATAAGCGCTGGAGATCTCACCACACTTTAAAAAAAAAAAACACACTACCCGGGTAGAACATTTTATTTATTTATTTTTTCTAGTGTGTGTGTGTGTGGGGGCGGGGGGTTGTGATTGGCCGAATACCTCAAGCGTGTGACGGAAATGTTAGGGGATAAAGTGAGGGGATAAAGTGTCTATCTGTCTCTCTGTCAGTCAATCAATCAATCAATCAATCAATCAATCAATCAATCTATCATATATCTGTCTGTCTGTGTATCTATCTATCTATCTATCTATCTATCTGTAAGTACTAGGGCTGCACGATAAATCGCATGCGATATTTAATGCGCATCTTGTCAGAAAGCCGGTTCTGTAATCAGCGG